AATAACATAACTTTGGTATATCAATAATTTTCTAAAATTGAGATGTTATTTTATTTTTAAAAAGTGCTTATTTATTTTGAGAGAGAGAAAGACAGAGAGAGTGAGCATGGGGGAGGGGCAGAGTTAGAGGGAGAGAGAGAATCTCAAGCAGGCTCCATGCTGCCAGTGCAGAGCCAGATGCAGGGCTGGATCTCACAAACTGTGATCATGATCTGAGCTGAAATAACAAGTCAGATGCTCAACTGACTGAGCCACCCAGGTACCCAAAGATTGTTATTTTAAAACTTTTAAAATTTCTGGTGGAAAGTAATTCTCCAGCAGCATGGTGCCAACTTACTTCCCCACCAATAGAGTGGTATATCTTCACAAATAGTATTACAATTGAAAAAATAATAATAAAACACTGGCTAATGGATAAAATTTGTGTCTCATTTTAAATGTGTTATCTTCAGGGTACCTGGGTGGCTTAGTCAGTTAAGCATACAACTTCACCTCAGATCATGTCTCACAGCTCATGAGTTTGAGCCCCGTGTTGGGCTCTGTGCTGACAGCTCAGAGTCTAGAGCCTGCTTGGGATTCTGTGTTTCCCTCTCTCTCTGCCCCTCCCCTGCTCATGCTCTGTGTCTCTCTGTCTCTCAAAAATATACAAACATTAAAAAAATTATTAAATGTGATATCTTCAGTTGCTTCTGATGATTTTTAAATATCGTTTTACTGTCTGTGTACAGCAAATTGTTTTACTATTTGAGTGGTCAGCTTTTCCTCTTTGATTTGAAAGGGTATTTATAACCATGTATACTTATGAGGCAACACATTTTTCTATATATTTGCTTTAACTATGTTTATGACCATTTTTAGCATAGAAAGGTATTAATTTTACTTATTCTACCATAAAATGTACTATCAACATTTTATTTATAATTTTCTATTTTTACTTTTAGGCTTAAAAATTTCCTGTTAGAGGCAAAATAAATATTAACTTATATTTTATTTGGATTATTTAATGTTTTATTTTGTAACATTATCTAGTTAGTTCTCATAGAAGTTATCTGCTATAAGGGTATAGAGGAAGAGTTGTCAAAATAACAGAATGCATCAACACAAGTTAGTGAATATGAAAATCTATCAAGTCTCTTCTCTGTAATCTTATGTAATCTAACATATGTATCTGGACTTTTTATTCTACTTCCTTTTATTTGCATCCATTTAATAATACTATATTTTATTATAATTTATTTCAATATATTTCCTAAACATAAAATGCTCTTAGTACCATTTCTATTCAACATTTTGCTGGCTATGCTCTTCGACTTTAAAATGACTTGATCAGGGGCACCTGGGTGGCTCGGTTAGGCGTCCAACTTCGGCTCAGGTCATGTTCTCATGGTTTGTGGTTCGAGCCCCACGTCAGGCTCTGTGCTGACAGCTCAGAACCTGGAGCCTGCTTCAGCTTGTGTCTCCCTCTCTCTGGCCCTCCCCCGCTCATGCTCTGTCTCACTCTCTCTCTCAAAAATAAATAAACATTAAAAAAAATTTAAATGACTTGATCAAGTTCCATTATGTTATCACATTTGAATTTTTTTGAAATTGCTTTATACTTTTCAAATGTAGTGTTTCTTTAGTATTAAGGGCTCACATTTTTGAGAACTCAAATAAGGATGTCATATCTCATTTACTTTGGTTTCTTAATGTATTTTCTATTAGATTTTCTAAATGGTATGTAAGAAATATGTGCACATACACATATAAGGCATTTTGACTTATGAGTTTAATAGAATTACCTCTTATGTTTCACCTTTAAGAATGGCATCGAAGGAGTGCCTGGGTGGCTGAGTCAGTTAAGCATCTGGCTCTTGGTTTCGGCTCAGGTCATGATCTCACAGTTGGTGAGATTAAGCTCTATGTTGGTCTCTGCACTAACAGCGTGGAGCCTGATGGAGATTCTCTCTCCACCTCTCTCTCTCTCTGCTCCTCCCCATCCTCTCTATCCTCTCTAAATAAGTAAACATTTTTTAAAAATGGCATTGAATATTGTTGTAAGGTATTTATATTTTGTTATGTTTGAAAATCATAATAGATATTGAAAAGATTTGAAGATAATGTAAATCCCTTAGGTAGGGAAAAATGGGAAGAAAAACTAAGTAACTTTAGCAAATTATAAATTGATTGTCAATATCTTTTCATCTAAGATCCCATGGGGTAAATTATATTATTAAATGTCTTTCTTTGACTAACCCTTTTATTCCCAGAGAAAATATCCCATTGTCATTTATTAGAAATTTACTAATATTGTATTGAATTTTTTAATTTAGAATTTTACAACTCTGGATGGAATAAATGGAACCCATATAAATTTTCATTTTTGTTCTATTTTTGTTATTCATTGCTATTAGAGAATATTTGGATCAGGAGGCTCTGACTATTCTCTCTTAAATCCTTCTGAACTAATAGAAAAAATAGAGTCATATTGCTATAGGAACATAATACCAAACTGCTAGAGAATGTTCTTTTTTTCTCTCTCTATTTTTAAAATAATTTTTATATTTCCATAACTAATCTCTAAGACCAACACGGGGCTCATACTCATCACCCCAAGATCAAAAGTTGTGTGTTCTACTGACTGAGCCAGCCAAGTGCCTCCATTTTTTTTTCCTCTTAAACTTCATTTGCTTCATAAACTAAACCAAACCATAAAGACTAGTTTGGTTTAGCAGACCACTGACAAAGAGAACTTCAGATTAATAGATGTCATATTTTAGAACTAGCAATCATATACTTTAAAAGTTACACCAAACTCTAAAAAGCATATTGATAGACATAGCTCCATGATGCCTCACTTTGTGCATCATAAAGCTTTCTTGGAGTGTTATTTTTCTCTCACCCACCTAGGAGCTGTGAGGGACCCCAGAGTTACAAGCTTTCTACCTTTTATACTTTCCTAGTATGGAATTAGCATGTAGACAGGAAGTAGTAATACTCAATGGTTCACTTTAGAAACATACAAATGAATTCTCCCCTTATCAGTTACATGCTTATTCTATATTTTGGCAGTGTCATGGAGCTTGGAATGCAGTCAAGATTTTAGCATGGCAGGCCATTCTACTATGGCTTACCCTACCTTTTCTTTATATGAAGAGATTATTTCAGATGTGTAGTTATGTTTTTAAAGATCATTTTCAGCTACTGGATTGGTTTGGCCAATGGGGAGAACCTGCAAGTGACTAAAAGACAAGAGGAGAATGAAGCTGGGTATATATCTCCTAGTCTACTCCTGATTGGTTTGCATTGGATTGCCTATATTCTCTCCCAAAATGCCATAGCTTCTATGAACTGGTAGGTTTCCTCTTTTGGGTCTTAATGACTGCTCTTTCCTTTGTCCCTTCAGGACTCAAGGTAATGATGACATTCTGCTGTTACTAGTCCCTTCAGAATCCTACTATCTCTACCCATATCTTTGTAAATAATTTTTTTTTTGTAAATTCTCCCAAGTACTCAACTGGAATGTGCTATCTATTCCCTGATATGACCCTGGTCAACACAGTGGATGAACATACTGAAAAATGCTGCCAAGTGCCTTGTAAATTATTGATTAACATGTCTAAAATATTTAGGAAGGCAAGGGAAACTAGAAGAAGAATAGGCAAATTGGAAAAGATCAAAATCACCAAAGAGTGTTTGAAGTTGGAATGAGGGAATGGGAAAAAAGGAATGTGACAAGGTTTTGCTCATAAAGGCAAACTTAGGGTTTTATTTCCTGGAAATGCAGAATTTGTGTCCTGATTATTTTTGAGGGATAGCTATGGGACTAACTGTATGAGAGGAGAAGATGTAACTCTGCTGAATTTGTTAAGAACCTTATATGCGAGAAGTGATGTGTTGGGTATTACTGATGGTTCTTAACAGTTATACAACAAGCTATTGTCTTGTAAAAGCACACGGAAAATACTACATTTAAATTTGTAATTAAAATTTATGTTATTTTTAGGAACATATCACACTACACATACCAAATATAAGATTTGGTCTTTTGTATTATTGAGTTGCCAGCCACAAATTACACCCCTAAACATTTTAAACACTGATATGTGATTCTTCTGAATCATACACACAAAATCTACAAATATACATATATAACACATGAAACCTATACATTTCTTATTGAGGGGAAATCAACTTCACTACCACAATTACACTTGAAATTCCACAAGATAGAACTTCTTTAAATAATGAAAAATACCTTCTCTTTCTGCTAAATATAATTATTGAAGGTTTTTTTTTCTGCATGTTTCCCGATTTGACAGTAATTACAAGGGTAGAGGAGACTAATAATTTCTAAAATGCTTTAAAGTAAGAATAGCTATCTAAGAAAAGTGGCTTTTCATTAATTATTTCAAGACTGAATTTAAATTTACACATGGGATACTATCTTGTGTCAATTTATATATTTATTTTTGTTAAGTAAAGGTCATGAGTTTCATTTACATTCTGAGTTATACATAATGAAAGCATCACAGCTTTGCATTAAATAATGATAAACCACGCTATGTAGAATGGCAACACTCAATAAAGTTCCCTTGATTGCTTCATCTTCCCATTAAAAAAAAAATACCAGCACTGAAAAAAAAAATGTTAGAAAGTATATGTTATATTGTGTTCCACCTGACAAAGATTCTATTTCAAGAAATGAGAATAATAAAAGTTATTCCTAAAGTTTGAAAGATCTATTGTAATGAATTGAACTAGTTCAGTTTCTGATTGCTTGCCAGCAGTGTAGCTGTCTCCAACATACTCCTGTATTGATCTGGTAGCCTTTGTGGCAGTGCATAAAGAATAAACATCTGTGTCAGGTACAACAGCAAGGTGCCATCCCCATTGAACTTGCTGCTACCCTGATTACAAAGAGGCTGTTTAGAGCACCCGGTGACCACGACAGGCTCTTTCTTCACTATAGAAAAGAAACTCATTTCCAAAACTTACTGAACTGAAACTGAGAAACTCACCAGAAATCGTCAGCTGAAGAGGTGTTGGAATGAACTCCAGTGAAGACAAAGTAAGCGATCTAGTGATGGAAAGCCTCTGGCTTGCAGCAGAAGATTCCCAATCATGCACACTAGGCTGAAGTTCCCATTTGGGCCACTCTGAAGAAGTTGTAAGCTCTTCTTTTAAATCAGATGTTAAGGTCAGATAATCTGTATAATATGTCCAATCTGGCACAAGAACAGACAAGGGAAAACAGGTCTGTATTGGATATGACTGAGTTCCTGAAACTGCATAAAATGCGATATTAGAGGTTACCTCTGAAAAGTCACACACAGAGTCTATATAAGGTGGCAGGTTGTTTTTGAGGTCACCTGAATATATAGTTTTTGGATGATTTTGTAAATTTAATTCAAAATCTAGAGAACTGTCATGTGTGTGAAGTTTGAACTGATTATGAGATCCTTTACTCTCTCGCATACCCAATAAATTGTCTTGATTCAGTATCTCAGTGGAGCCCATGGTTATACCATGTTGTCCTATTGTCAATAGTTTTAAAATGTTCTCTGATACAGAAGGATCATCAGTAGTCAGTTTTGAAGTCAAATCAGAAATCATCAAGGCTGAAGAGACACTTTGTAAAGGGACAGTGGATAAATAACTCTTTTTTTTTTTTAATTTTTTTTTCAACGTTTATTTATTTTGGGGACAGAGAGAGACAGAGCATGAACGGGGGAGGGGCAGAGAGAGAGGGAGACACAGAATCGGAAACAGGCTCCAGGCTCCGAGCCATCAGCCCAGAGCCTGACGCGGGGCTGGAACTCCCGGACCGCGAGATCGTGACCTGGCTGAAGTCGGACGCTTAACCGACTGCGCCACCCAGGCGCCCCTAAATAACTCTTAAATAAACATAAATTAACATCCAAATTACTTGATTGGGTAATGGATTCTTCCAAGGATGAGGATAAAATCCTTCTTTTTGTACTCTTTTTAGAAGGAAATAAAGATGACAGTTCTGTGAATGCCACTGATGGCGTTATTTCAGTAGCATAAGACAATGGATGCCCAGAAGTGATAGTCTGAATTCCCATTAGTGCATACCAGCTGGCTGATATCGCTGAGTTCATCCAGAACGTCTCATAAAAGTGGGACTGTTTTCTATGCAAAACTTGATCTGAGAATTCATGAGAGGATTTTATTTCAGTCATAGAACATGTTGCACATGTTTGGCTTAATTCACTTAAAGAATCAGCAGCCTGTGATTTGATGTTTGTGAGTCTCTGGTTGCTAGATGCTTCAGTAATAACCTGGTATTCACTGGGAATGGAGGCTTGTGCAGTGAATTGGTGCAGAGTTGATGAGTTTAAGATGGCTACCTGTTTAGATATAATTATCTTAGCAGGAGAAAGGGGAGACATTGAGGAGCTCAGCAATCTCCAGTACTCTCTTCTTGAAATGAGGGAAACAGCTGAAAATTCTTCAATATCCTCTTGAGCCCCCATAGAAACAACCGGAGGTACACTTGTAGAAGTGGTTGTGAGCAGGAATCCATGGGAGAGTAATGAGTGCCTCTTTAACTTAATATCAGCTCCTGGAATGCCAGTAATTACTGAACTCACTGTGGTAGTAGTTAAGGCAATAGTCTCATTGTTCACAAAAAATAAAGATTCTGTAGGAAAAATAAAATCTGACATGAAAGAAGAAATGATAAATGGGGTCCTGTCTTCCATACTGGGGAAAAAGTATCCTGCTGTGGCTGCTGAAGTTTGGATAGGCATATGTGATACAGACGTTTTGCCCCAGACAATTTGTGCTGAGTCATGAACACCAAAATTCAGAAATTGAGAAGAGGAAACATCTGTGGAAGAAGGAAGACTGCGTTTTGCTGAAAGCTCTCTAGTGGAAATCAGTTCTTTGAGTAAATAGCTTTCAAAAGATATGCCAATACTTAATGTTGCTAAAATAGTAGTTGGGAGAACATCATGCTTGATAATGTCTGTCTGTTTTGGACCTTCAAAGAGGAAAAAGAAACAAAAAGAGAATCAGAAAAGTGAATTAAAAATGAACAACTTTGGCCCTGGGCTGAGTCTTCTGCAAACTGCACTGCCTCCTCATATCAATTATTTGCAGACAAATGGCTCTGTAGGTTATATTTCTAATGGAAGTGTATGGGTAAGTTTAGTAACTTCACAAACTGGATAGATGCAAAGACTCCCATTATTCACACTCCATTTGAGGGTCAAAGTCAAACAAATTGTGCTATATAATCTTGAGAAAGAACAAAGCTGGAGGTATCTTGTGCCCTAATTTCAAACTATACTACAGGGCTATCGTAATCAAAACAGCATGGTACTGGCATAAAACCAGACATATAGATCAGTGGATTAGAGTAGAGAGCTCAGAAATAGGCCTACTCATATGTAGTCAATTAATCTCTGACAAAGGAGGCAAGAATATACAATAGGGAAAGATAATCTTTAAAATGATTAAATGGTGGTGCGCCTGGGTGGCGCAGTCGGTTAAGCGGCCGACTTCAGCCAGGTCACGATCTCGTGGTCCGGGAGTTCGAGCCCCGCGTCAGGCTCTGGGCTGATGGCTCAGAGCCTGGAGCCTGTTTCCGATTCTGCGTCTCCCTCTCTCGCTGCCCCTCCCCCGTTCATGCTCTGTCTCTCTCTGTCCCAAAAATAAATAAATAAATGTTGAAAAAAAAAATTAAAAAAAAATGAATAAATGGTGCTGGGAAAACTGGGCAGCTACATGAAAAAAATTAACTGGACTGCTACTTTACACCATATAATGGTGTAAAGATTTAAATATAAGACTGAAAACCATAACACTAGAAGAAAAAATAGGTAGTAAGCTCTTTGATATCAGTGTTAGCAATACTATTTGGGACCAGACTCCTTAGGCAAGGGCAACAAAAGTTAAAATAAACAAATGGGACTACATCAAACTTAAAAGCCTTTACACAACAAAGGAAACCATAAACGAAACAAAAAAAAAAGCAACCTACTGAATGGGAGAAGATATGTGCAGATCATATATCTGATAAGGGGTTAACATCCAAAATATATAGAGACATCCACAACTTAATATCAAGAGAACAAGTAATCTGATTTAAAAATGGGCAGGGGCACCTGGGTGGCTCAGTCAGTTAACTTTTGGTTTTGGTTCAGGTCATGATCTCACTGTTTGTGAGTTCAAGCCCTGCATCAGGGAGCTTGGGATTGTCTCTCTCTCTTTCTCTGCAGCTCCCCTGATTGCTTGTTCTCTCTCTCTCTCAAAATAAATAAACTTAAAAAAAATGTGCAGAGGACTTAAATAGACATTTTTCTAAAGAAGACATACGGATGGCCAACTGGCACATGAAAAAATACTCAACATCATTAATCATCACAGAAATGCAAATCAAAACCACAATGAGATATCACCACAAGTATGTTAAATTGACTATTATCAAAAAAGGCAATAAGTAACAAGTGTCGATGAAGATTTGTAGAAAAGGAACCTTTGTACACTGTTGGTGAAAATGTAAATTGGTGCAGCCACTGTAGAAAACAATATGGAATTTCCTTAAAAAAATTAAAAATTAGAAATACCATACAATCCAGCAGTACCACTTCTGGATATCAATCTGGAAAAAATGAAAATACTAGTTCAAAGAGATACATACGCTTCTATGTTCACTGAAGCATTGTATACAATAGCCAAGATATGGATTCAATCTATATGTCCATTGATAGATTAATGAATAAAGATGTTATATATACACAATGGAATATTACTCAGCCATAAAAAAGAATGGAAGCTCCTCACTTGTGATGACATGGATGAACCTAGAGAGTATTATGCTCAGTAAAATAAGTCAGAGAAAGACAAATACTGTATGATATTATTTACATGTGGAATCTAAAAATAAATGAACACACAAAACAAAAAATACCATGAGAAACATACTCATAGATACAGACAATAAACTTGGTTAGCAGAGGAGGGAGAGATAAGCAAGGTGGAAAAAATAGATAAAGGGGATTGAGAAGTACAAACTTCCAGTTATAAAATGGGTGAGTCATGGGAATGTAATGTACAGCACAAGGAATATAAATAATATTGTAGCAACTATGTATGGTGTCAGGTGGCAACAAGATTTGTCATGGTGATCATTTAATAATGCATAGAAATATCAAATCACTATGATTTATACCTGAAAATAACAGAATATTCTATATCAATTATACTTCAATTATAAAGAAAAGCAATATATATAATTTATGTTATATTAAATTTGTATTTATTTCATAAACATTTTAATTTATTTCACATATTTATAGTTATACATACAAGCAATGAGTATGCACAGAGGGAAAAGAAAGAATTGACATATTCCACACCAAATGACTCCTTTGAATAATGAAACATGAAAAATTACAACTTTGTCACTGATAGACTCAATGAATATATAACATATTGGTTAAAAATATTAGAAATATTATTTTAATTTCTAAATAGGCACAGTATACTTTATATTTGATAATATTATATTTCAACTTAAGTCTTTAAAAGAACAGGAATTACAAAGACAAAAAATAGGGAAGACTACCTGCCTGCTTATAATATCCAGTCGCCTTCAAAAATATTTTTCCTAAGCAAAGAATACCTTGTTAAGGGGTATAATTCTCATTCTTATTATCCTGAGTGACACTGACTATAAAGAATTAACTTGGAATTTAACATATGATATACTATTTACAATATAGCATCATTTGATTTAGTAAATTAAATAAGACATATATAAACATACTAAAGGGGCGCCTGGGTGGCGCAGTCGGTTAAGCGTCCGACTTCAGCCAGGTCACGATCTCGCGGTCCGTGAGTTCGAGCCCCGTGTCAGGCTCTGGGCTGATGGCTCAGAGCCTGGAGCCTGTTTCCGATTCTGTGTCTCCCTCTCTCTCTGCCCCTCCCCCGTTCATGCTCTGTCTCTCTCTGTCCCCCAAAAAATAAATAAACGTTGAAAAAAAAAATTAAAAAAAAAAAAAGAAACATACTCAAGATGTCAAAATACTTCAAATTTGGAAAAAAGGCAGATTAAAAAAATTCCAATAAATTGATAGGAATATAAATTTATATATAATGATTCAGAGAATGTTAAATAAAGATAGAATAAAGTAAGTATTGCAAGTTTTTTTAAATAAGTTTTATGGATAGTTAAAATCAGCTGGGACTGGAATCCAGTTATCTACCAAAATTTACATATCATAATAAAGATATTAATAAACATTTTTTTTACTGTTTAAGAAAGAGTATTTATTAGCAAAGAACATCAATATTCTTAAACCAAAACTTAAAACTGAAACATAACAAGAATTCTAAAATATTTTATACCCCTGAAAAATTATGTAACTCAGAAAAATAAAGATTTGAAATAAGTCAGAAAATAGGTTTCAATACACATCAAATTCAATCTTTTATATATCTTATTTTCATCTACTTACCTGGATCATCTGGGTTAGTATTCATGATGGTCCACAGTCTTGTAGCCCTTGCTGATGGAAAGCTACTGATTGAAGTGTCAGAAGCAGATACTGTATATGTTTGTGTAGAAATGACATCCGTTCTTTGAGAGACAAGAGGTAAACAGGTAATTCTGCTTATTTCAGCACCACAAAAAAGCCCAGTGGAGCAGGCCTGCAAACAATAATTATAATAACTAAGTTCACAGTTTCTTTGTCACCAAGAGAGAAGTTTTTAAGTTAGTTTTGAGGCATTTTCTTGTCATATTCGATAGCTCAAATCATCACCTTAATTTGCTTGAAAATAAAGTCTTTAGGGTAAATTTTATCTGTATTTCAAAATTAATCCTGCAAATTTTGGATATGCTCAATTAAATGCCTAAATGTATTCTTAATTTCTTTAATTTTAAGCCAAAATACTATTTCACATTTCCTTTGAGGGTATTTTTTTTTTCCAAGGAAGAATTTGTGCTGTATGGTAGTCAATATGGATCTAAAAGCTTCATTACAAATTATAAACTCTTCCACTCTAAATGTCATATTTAGTTGGAAGCAAATGTAAAATGCAGTATATGCAACAGATAATTTGAAAACATTTTCTTGTGATGTTTGAATCATTTTAATTTGTATTGGCTTACGGAGCAATGATCCTTATAGATTTAGGTTTATGTGAATAGCCTATTTCTGCCATAAACTTACAAGATAATTTCTGCATAAAGAAATTGTTTTTAGCTTATGGGAAGAGAATTGTGATACATACATAAATAAGTACAAATATATCTGGGGATTCTCCTTTAAATATAGAATTAACACTTAGTTACACTATTTGTAGATTTTGAACTTTATGAAAATACAATTCAAATATTATTTAAAAATAGTAATGCATGCCTATTTCCTAACACTAAGGACACATTCAACAGGTATCCTTACTTAACTGGGCTAGTATTTGTTCAAGATTTCATATAATTTGCACAAAATGTAAATTTTACTTCAGCTATCCTTTTTCCATTTGTTTCAGAGTTATAAATTCTGTATTCACTTTCAATTAACACCTGAAAGTTTTTATAAGGTCAGAGAATTCTTGATGTTTTATAACTGCTTTAAAAAATCTAACATGTAGGGGCGCCTGGGTGGCTCAGCCGGTTGAGCTGTGGACTTCAGCTCAGGTCATGATCTCGCGATCCGTCAGTTTGAGCCCTGTGTCGGGCTCTGTGCTGACAGCTCAGAGCCTGGAACCTGTTTCGGATTCTATGTCTCCCTCTCTCTGATCCTCCCCTGTTCACGCTCTGTCTTTCTCTGTCTCAAAAATAAATAAACGTTAAAAAAAAATAAAAAAAAAATCTAACATGTAGAAAATGGTAAAAAGTGAAGCTAGGGGCGCCTGGGTGGCGCAGTCGGTTAAGCGTCCGACTTCAGCCAGGTCACGATCTCGCCGTCCGGGAGTTCGAGCCCCGCGTCGGGCTCTGGGCTGATGGCTCAGAGCCTGGAGCCTGTTTCCCATTCTGTGTCTCCCTCTCTCTCTGCCCCTCCCCCGTTCATGCTCTGTCTCTCTCTGTCCCAAAAATAAAATAAATAAACGTTAAAAAAAAAGTGAAGCTAGAAGCGATAGAAGAAACAGCAAGAAAAACATGTTTTATGATTCCACATATTAAGGACCAAGAGATTTGTCTTTTTCTCTACTCAAGGGTAAGCAGCAAGGCTTGGAAAGAATTCAAAGATTGTTGAAAATACACATGGAACTAGGCTAGAGATCAGAATGCAAATAGATTATGGTGAAAATATAGCTGTTACATAGCGCAAAAATATTTGCACGACCAACATTTTCCTACTAAATCATAATCAGAAGTTATTATCAACTACCTTGAGAAATCACTACCATGGGGTTAAGGGATCCTCAAAGCCCCATGATCAACAAGTTTTCCCCATGTCACCATTGCTACATGAGAATCACAGATATCCTTGAGGTACACTAGATCAGAACATGTAAAACAAGGTGATTCAAATACTTAATGACGTAAGGCTAAGATACTGCCATAAGAATGATCTGGAATACCTGATATTCATAGACTAAATATCTATCTTTAGACAACTTTACATTGGAACTACTAACATTTGTCTCTATGGTTCTGATATGTTCTCTAATATTGTTACTATTATATCACTGGATATGTTAATACATCCATTCTTCCTGGTGGGAAGCCATACTTTCTCTTTCCTATCTTGTATGCCTAGGCTCACATCCATCATGTGCTGTTCTCAGTATTTAAGTCTCAAAGGTGAATTTATTTTCCTAATTTTGAGCTTGATAAGAAATGTCTTATTATATTCCCAAGTACCAGCGATTAAAATCATAGAGCCTTTTTTAAAATTAAATGTTCCTCCAAATTTATTTCAGTATTTTAATTGTTTGAACTCTCTCTCTCCTCCTCCTCCACACACACACACACACACACACATAATTTATCCTAGAGAAACTTCTATATTTTCCTTAGTTAAATTCAAAACTGCATGGCAAAGCTTACTACATGTTCACTAAACTTATTTCTTCTTCCTCTTGGACATGTTTTACTCACTCTTGTGTTTATGTGAGATCACGCCATTTACTCCTAATCAATGAAATGTGAATGATCATGAAGTATGTCACTTTCAGATTGATTGACAAGAGTCTGCTATGCATGAACCTCCAGCCTCTTCTTCCATGTGGCGACTTCAGAAAACACATATTAATGATAGAGGAGCCACAAAAAGGAAGTAGCCCAGATCCATAGATCTTTCTTTGAAGGAGAATATCTGAAATCAGAAACACTCACTTGGACTTCATATGAATGAAAAGTAAATTTGTATTATTCCAGGAAAAATTTAGAAGCTATTGCTGTATCAACCAGTATTGGTTGGTATCAATCTCTCCCTCACTTGGTAATGTTACAAGAAAACTAAACCATAAATGGTTGAACATTTCTTTTCCCATAACTGCAGGATTACACTGAAGGATATAAGTATTTCAAATATTTAAATTTGCTTTAATTCAGCAAATATTAAAGTTATATTTCTTTCCTAACTTCAGTTACCCTAATTTACTTATTTTGCCAATATATCTCTCATTCACTCATCATTCATTTATCAAATATGTATTGAGTACCTACCATGAATAGCATAATAACTTACTTGCTGATAGTTATTGAAATGTAATATGTGCCATGACAAAGATAGCCATTTCTACAAAACTTCATGACTTAAAAAATATTTTTCTTTCTGAATCTATATTTGAGGAGAAAAATGCAAATAGGATCTTTTGAATCAAACCTTTATGAGAATATGGTCATCCACTTTCCATGGTCACTGTGTAGCCTTCTATGTCTTTACTCAACAAATATTTCATGATCAGTTTCTAAGTGTCAGTGATTGTTGCAAGTGCTTGGAATAAAATAACTAACAAGATATGCAATGTTTGTTTCATTACATAGCTTATCTTTTAGTAAAGGAATCAGAATTAATTAATACTAATTAGTAATAAGTGGCTTAAAGACAAAATTTTGTGAGATAAATAATAAGGACAAATAGGGAGGACTCGTAAAGGGAGTGGCCAGGGAAGTCTTTTCTGATCAGGGATCTGAATGTGAATTTCTGAGGAAAAGAGCATTCAAAGCAAACAGAAGAGGGGTATAATGGCCCTGAGACAGGAACATTCATTGCATGTTTGAAAGACAGCAAGATGGGGGATATGAATAAAGAGATGAACGGAAGGCCATCAGTGGATGGAAGTGAGGTCACAGACATAGGCAAGATAGGTAAGATAATGTGTTTCTTGTATTTGGAATTAATTACGAGAGTTATGGAAAGCCATTGGAGTACTTAATATTTAGGAAAAAAGATACAGTTTGATTTATATTATGAAAGGATTAAGTTAATGTTTTGTAGATAGTAGACTCTTAAGGGAGTCTGGAGTACAGGAAAGAATGGAAGCTGTGAGATATATATATATATATATATATATATATATATATATATATATATATA